AATTGAGTCCAAATGAAATAGGGAGACATTTAAGAGAAGTTGTAATGTTCTCTAAATTAAGCATCAAGAGCAAAAACAGGAGAAACACTTTAATCGATGCAGATTGCCCAGAGTTTCTCCTGGTGAAGACACAACTCTGAACCTGTCTGGATGAACACTCTCATAAATACGTTAACACAGCTAACAGGGTGCAGGTCCTGCAGGTCCAGGTTATGGTTTGTGTTGATGCTCAGGAATCTGGAGCTACAGTCTCTGTGAGCCCAAACTACATTTAACATCAAATAAAAAAATGTTTTAACTTGTTTCTTGAAACACCTTTTAAACAATGATTATCTTGCCTGCTTCCATCTTTTTTAAAATACATCACAGAGAAATAAGTCAGACCACAAGAGGGCGCTGGTGAGCCTTTATTACCTGGTACAACAAGTTACTCAGAGAAAATAAATCAGAATAGACTCATGTCCCTGATCAGCAGTGTGAAACATTCTCTCCGAAGGTTACATCAGTTCATGAAAGTTACTTGTACTGGTTTAACTGGTTACAAAGACAATGGCAAAGTGACCAAAATAAAGATGTGATTCTAAACGATGCTCCTTGGTAGTTGGAAGTCATCCAAAAAAAAAAAGAAATTGACTGTAATCATATTTTTATGTATGCAGTTTCTCATTCTGAGTGAGACATTGTGTCTTGTCTGACCTCCTCTGACTATTTCCAGCTGCCTTTATTTGTGTGGCAGCTCTAACGTGTGTGTAGCAGTGTTTCACACAGAATAATTGTACGACACACCACTACATCATCCAATAATCAGAATAATCAAGATTTTTAATTACTGTCTGGCAAAATATAATCAATCTTGTTGATTTTGTTCTACACAGTGTCACAGGGGAACAAGGTTCACCGTGTAACCTGAAGGTTGCTGGTTTAAACGCAGGCTCTGTCCGCGTCATTCATGTGCTTTGACAAGACACTCCACCCTCCTTGCCTGCTGATGATGGTCAGAGGGACCAGTGGTGCCTCTGTCAGTGAGCTCCAAGACTGCTGTGGCTACAGTGTTGCTCATCACCATCAGTGTGTGAATGAGTGAGTGAATGGGTGAATAATTGTTGTGTAAAGCACTTTGAAGTCCTCTAAGAGCAACATAAAATACAAGACTGCTGACAGTAAGTCTGGTTTTCCTTATTGACTCACATCCATCCTAGCATTTAAAACCTTCCAACAAATACAAAATATGTTTTTTTAGTAACTCTTTCATTGTTGAATCATAAACTCCAAAAGTCACATGTCATGTTTTTCAAATGTTCCTTTTGGTTCTTTTATTCTTGAATTTCTTTACAACAACGTGTGCTCCATTTTTAAGCCTACTGCATGTTGTCAGACAAGTTCTATTGAAGTGATTTCTTTATTCCATGCTGTAGTTCTTTTTTAAAACACAGAGCAGTTTTGTTAACCTGTTTTCCCGCTACGTTTCGTTTGCTGCTGCAAACATCCTCAGGCTGACGCTGATGGTGGCGCGTCACTTCCTTCTCTGTTTATCCGCGGGCAGCAGAGGACGTTGTCGCCCTCTGCTGCCCGCTCTCCTCTCTCCGATGATGCAGTCCCATGCGCGGTCTAACGTGTACACTCCATCCTCCCTGTTCATGGTCCCACATCCACGTCTCCTTATCTCGATTGCTTCTTTTATCCATCTTTTGTATTTCTGTTGTTCGGTGTTTATGATCCTTGTGTTGTCCCAGTCCATTATATGGTTTTCTCGTATGCAGCGATCTGTTACGGCTGACTTCTTTATTGTACTTTCTGCTTCTTGTTTTGCTGCTCTTGTGTGTTTTCGACTTGCCTCTTTCTCGCACTCCTTTCTTTGTTCTATTGTTCGTGTGTTGAGTTGGCGTCCAGTTTCTCCTATGTATGTTTTATTGCAGAGTTTGCATGGGATTTCGTAAATGACCCCACATGTGGAAGGGTGTCGTCCAGCTGATATTTTGTCTTTTGGGTGTACTAGTCTGTTTCTAACTGTTGTGTATGGTTTTGTTGGTGTGTTTATGTTGTGTTTTTTCATTGTTGCTCTTATTTTTTCTGTTATGCCTTTGATGTATGGTAGGGTTATCACTGGTTTTGGTTCTTGTCTTTCTGGGTTTCTGGTTCTTTGCTTTGGTTGTTCTTTTCTTTCTGTTGTTGTTTGTTGTTTTCCTTTGTTTATTGCCCATGTCGGGTACAACGTCCTCTGCTGCCCGCGGATAAACGGAGAAGGAAGCGACGCCACCATCAGCGTCAGCCTGAGGAAGTTTGCAGCCGCAAACGAAACGTAGCGGTAAAACAGGTAAACAAAACTGCTCTGTGTTTTAAAAAAGAACTACAGCATGGAATTAGAGATACGACACAGCAAGAACACACCGAAGATTATTCCTTTATTGTTCGGGTCACATTGAAAGCAGGCATGGGATGTAGCTTGTTCAACTGAACTCAGCTTTCCAAAGTAATGTGGTCTATCACGGTTAGTTCATTTTTTCACAACAGTGGTCGATGACATTTTCAGACAGGTTGGTTCTGATAGCTTTGTCACCTTTATACATTAAAGTGCCATTTACTGAATTTTGTATTTATTCAGATTATCATTGTCTGGTAGTTGATTTTTTCTTTTTTTTTTTTTTTTTTGCTAATCTGTTGCAAATCTAAATTTTACATAAAAGCAAAAACAAAGGAACTTTAAATTTGAAGCAGATACTTTTTTACACATTTTAGGAGCAAAATAGAGAAGATATTCTTCTAGTTCTAATCCTCAACAAATACATGAAATAATTTAGAATCTTATTTCCATTTACAGTTCGTTATACTCAGACAGAAACCAAGGGAGTCTCAGTGTAGAGAGAATGAACACACTAGCATGTAAAGCTCTCGATATTCAGGCTCCATAATACATCAGTGATCTCATTGTTCCGTATGTTCCTAACAGAGAACTTTGCTCCCAGACTGCAGGTTTACTGGTGGTTGCTAGAATATTTAAAATTAGAATGGGAGGCAGATCTTTTAGCTATCAGGCTCCTCTCCCATGGAACCAGCTCCTAGCTTTAGTCTGTGAGGCAGACACTTTGTCTACTTTTAAAACTAGTTTTAAAACTTTATTTGATAGAGCCTATGGTTAAATTTTGATGTTAGCCCAGACAAGTGGGGGAGTAGAGGGAGGTGGAGTGTACAGTCGGTAAAGACGACTCTCCCTTGCCCTGCCTTCAATATGCCTCCATCTAAAAGGCTAGGTTATCCAGAGTTATCTCTGTAGTTATGCTGCTATAGGCTTAGACTGCTGGAGGACATACTGACCACTTTCCACACTCGACTATTTTCTTCTACAATCTGCTCTTTAACTGTATTTATTTCCTGCTGTTTCAGCTGTTAACTTAATTTTTTTCTCTAGGTGTTTTTCTCTTCAGAAGCTACATTGGTGTTTTTTCTGGTCTTCTGGAGGGGGCCATCAGCTTGCACACTGCTGACAACCACTAGAATTTTTCTCCCTCCAGATATTAACATTTTACTTTCTTTAACATAAAATGTGCTACTACTAGTTCACCTGTTTGTTTTTTTATCTGCTCTGACTACTCAAACCCCTGGTCGGTCTTAGCAGATAGCTGCTCATACTGAGCCAGATTATGTTGGAGGTTTCTTCCTGTTAAAGGGCAGTTTTCCTCTCAACTGTCGCTGCATGCTTACTAAGTATGAGGGACTGCAGTAAACACAAGACAGTGACTCAATGCAATTAGCTGGATTTCTTCAGATAGAAGACTTTTAACTAACTGGCATAATGAACTGACATCAGTGCACTGATAAGTAGGTTCAGTTGTAATGTTTTCTTTTTGTAGTGCATTGAGATGACTCTTGTCATTGTGTGTTATAAAAAATGAATTGAAGTTACCTACCTCAAGTGGAGGAGTTTAAATATCTCGGGGTCTTGTTCACGAGTGAGGGTAGGAGGGATCGGGAGATCGACAGGCAGATTGGTTTAGCGTCTGCAGTGATGCGGACGCTGAGCCGATCTGTCGTGGTGAAGAGGGAGCTGAGCCAGAAAGCCAGGCTCTCGATTTACCGGTCGATCTACGTTTCAATCCTCACCTATGGTCATGAGCTTTGGGTAATGACCGAAAGAACGAGATTGCGGATACAAGCGGCCGAAATGAGTTTCCTCCGTAGGGTGGCCGGGCTCAGCCTTAGAGATAGGGTGAGGAGCTTGGACATTCAGGAGGGACTCGGAGTAGAACCGCTGCTCCTCCGGATTGAAAGGAGCCAGTTGAGGTGGTTTGGGCATCTGGTCAGGATGCCTCCTGGACGCCTCCCCGGGGAGGTGTTTCGGGCATGTCCTGCCGGCAGGAGGCCCCTGGGTCGACCCAGGACACGTTGGAGAGGCTACATCTCCAATTTAGTCCGGGAACGCCTTGGGGACCTGCCGGGGGAGCTGGTGGAGAAGGCTGGGGAGAGGACGGTCTGGAGCTCCCTAGTTGGGATGCTACCCCCGCGACCCGGACCTGGATAAGCGGAGGAAGATGACGACGACGAATTGAAGTTAACCTGGACATCTGTACTTTACTCCAACTAGGTTCATTCAGAAGTGGCTTCTACCAAGAGCAGGTTAAATCTTCTTTCAGCAGAATAAATATCTTAACCAGTAACATGAATTTTATGAGAGCAAACCAAAAACTCTCCTGAGTTTAATGATCTGCAGTAAAAAACTTAACCAGCCTATAAAAAATCTCAGCCTTATTTTTTCTCAGTTATCTTTAAACTGTTACTAGCGATGCTTTCACTTCATCTCTTCAGCAGTGGTGAATTTCCAATGAAAAACTGCATCATCATTGTTGTGTTCACACAATCTGCTTTCTTGTCCCAAACATAACCTGTGTAGTCTTTTTGCGCCACAGGAAGCGTTTCAGTTTCTGCTATGTAAAAACTCATTGTTAGACCTGGGTTTGACCCCAGGGAGGCTTTAGATGGCGACACAATGAGAATCTCCTGCATGATCAGTTGGAAAATACATTTATTTAGTTTATGACACCAATGCTATCATGTGGTGAAATTTTATGAATCGTATAAAACTGTAACTATAAAAACATCTTCAGTGATACCACAAGAATACCACGTGACAGTACTTTGTACATCCACATAAAAAGAAGGGTGGAGGACTCCATCATTCAGTAACTTTGCAGCTCTGGTGTCAGCTTTTGTAAAGCTATCAAAATGTCTAAAAGACAATAATAGAAAAAAAAAACTATGTGCATTATTATTCATGTAAAGAGCAGAATAAAAAACCCATTCTCTCCCAGTGGGTGTGTGGGGGATTTTGAAAGCAGAGTCCAAAGTTGTCTCCATATTTGTGTCTGCTGAAGGACAAAAACAGCTGGTCTGGGATCAGGAGCTGCACTGGTTGCAGCTGTTGTTTCTGAGTAATGCACCAAAACACTGCTGATAGAACAGGAGGAGTTGCTTCATCTGAGTCTCATCTCCTGAGACAACAACCAGACTTTCTGACATATTTTGATCTCAACATCCGATCCATTCAAACCACGAGTTTGATCAAATGGAAATTCACAGATTTACCAGTTCACAGGCTGAATAATTTATGCATTAATGACCATCAGTGGTAAAACAAACACAAAAATAAGCACAATTTTCTGAGCAGAACAATATTTCTACACATCACTGAAAATATTATCTATTCATATAGATATGTGCAACTATACAACTATGGTTGGATGCTGCACACACAAAATAAGATACACATCCTTTTGCACATAAAATACTACAAGAATTGAGATTTTAAGCATGTAAATCACACCTCACAGTAACATTTATTATAAAAATATCCAAATGAGTCAGACTGAATGTTTATTTCTAAACACTAAAGTCTACCTTATGTTTCAACCTCTTCATTGGGTTTAGGTGAGTCCTTAAAGATGAGTCCTAGGCAATCACTTAATGTTGGGCTGAATTTCAACCAGTTCCGGTTTTGACTCGCTCGTTGTTGCTCTTTGTTTCCTGGTCAGAACAAACATGAGTTTGGAGCGGTAGTGATCGCCTGCCAGGAAATACAGAATGGGGTCGATGCAGCTGTTGACGCTCGCCAGCGGCCTTGTGATCTTGTAGGTGAAGTTTACGACGTTGAGGAATTCACAGTGGAGATTCAGCACGCGCGAGGTGTAGTAGAGCGTCCGCGTGATGTGGAACGGGACGAAGCTGACCGCGAACACCACCAGCACCACGATGATGAGCTTGATGGACTTCTGGCGGGAGTTGTTGCCCTGGGGGCTGGCTGATAATCCCTGCCTGGGTCGGCACAACGCCCGCGCCATTTGACAGTAACACACCAAAATGATCATGAACGGGATGCAAAACAGCAGCACCATGACGACGGAGCTATAGTCCACATACTGCTCGAAGGCCCCCTGGCTCGTCGTGTCATGACACAGAGTGTCATTGTCCCTCCTGGAGGTGGTGACGAAGACGATGTTGGGTATGAGACACACCGTCACGACAGCCCACATCAGGCCACACACCAGGTGGGCGTGTCGAGACTTCACCAGGTTCCGAGCCTTGATGGGGTGGCAGATACCGATATAACGATGTACGCTGATGCAGGTGAGGAAGAGGATGCTGCAGTACAGGTTGGCGTAGAAGAGGAAGCGCACAGTTTTGCAAGCAGCCACACCGAATGGCCAGTGGTTGCGGTTGGCATAGTAGTAGATGAGCGTAGGCAGGGAGAGCACGTACAGGAAGTCCGACAGAGCGAGGTGGAACATGAACACCATGCTCGGGTTCCACGGACGCATCTTGAAGAACACCCATAAGGCCATAGCGTTGAGCACGAAGCCGAGCACAAACACCAGACTGTAGGACACAGGGAGCAGGATGTATTTAAACTCCTCATTGAAGCGACAGCTGGAGTTGAAGACTGACGTGAAAACCTCTGTCTGGTTGAGAGCACTGAAGTTTCTGAGGGCCGGTTCCATGTGGGCCGTCTGAAACGGGCTGTACAGCCAGAAGATGATAAGTCCTGTGGAAGAAAATTAAAGATAAGTGACAGGCCCAGGTTGTTGGAGGTGTAACCACAGATGTTACACCACTTGTTATTCTTTCAAAAAGCAACTTTTAATTATATAAATGTTTTTTGTGATTTGTTGATTTTCAAACCAGTCTCTTACTTGACTGTTTCTATGTGTGTGTTGTTTTATTTGAACCTCTTATTGTAAGGGTTTTATCTTGTGAAAGATTCTACATCAACATATTTTACTTATATTGAATATGAATATTCATCCCAGTAAGACCCGTGGTTTCCAACGCTATCAACAATTAATATCTTAGCTGTAGTAAATAGATTTTTTAAGAAATGTGTGGAGCGATAAGCTACCGTCTCATCCAAACGGTGGGTTTCAAGGTGGATTTTTGTTAGTTAAAATCACAAATAGCTCACTTCAAAAATAAACTTTCACACCTTTACACAGAACACTTCTCATAAAACAATACTTTACATGTTTGTCTGCCACAGTAGCTGAGCTAGCTAGCTGCAGCATATCAAATTGGAATTTTGTAGCCTTTCTGCTTGAATGTTTGTGAAATGCAAAGCTGGCGGCAATTTAAATGCCTAAAGGATCCTATTTGCAGGAATTGCTATGATTTTCTTAACTAGAGCCATTTTAAAACAGCAGCAAGCCATTTGGTTTTGACCTTACTGTGACTAGCCTTTAGCTTGTCAATCAAATCAGAAGCAGGTAAGATAAAGACTTTCCTCACATAACATTTCTCTCTAAACCAGTTTTGAGTCAGAGAGATGGGGGGGGGGGGGGGGGGTGAACTCTACTCTACTCTACCACAAGTTAACTCTAAGGAAACCAGTATTTTTTTCCTATGATTTCATGCTCTCACTCCGTTCTTCTCTTATTTCAGGCATAGAGTGGGTGTTTTGTAGAATTACATGTAGAGTATTATAGCTGACAGAATGCCAGCTCGCCAAAATTATTTTCCGCTCAGAGATTAGAGCACCCGGACTCTTTTTTTGTCCAACTTCCCAAAAATCTGCAGTGAGGTCAGCAGTAGATGTTTAGTATTGGGCGTAGCTTTTCATGCAAAAGCACTTTTCAAAAAATAGGATAAAATTATCGCTCACTGGAATTTCAGAAGCAAACTTTCAGCAACATGTCGACATTTTCAAGTTGAGCTTAGTTGTCTGGTTAGATTTAGCCATTTAGCCTTTGTTGTATACAAAATAGTTTTAACACAAAAGAATGCACACATTAAGATTGTGAACTACCCTAAAGCACCAAACGGGATTTCAGCTTGAACTTAAAAATGTTTTAAACATCTAGAATGTTTCCATCAATTTTTCCACCCTCCAAAGGGAAAGCGATATCAGCAACATGTCAGAAAAGCACATGAGGAATGTGGCCCAAACAAAAATATTCAGCTACAGAGGCCGCATGCCTCAGACACATCTAAAACAATCTCGTAAAAAGATCAGTTGGCAAAAATAGAGGAAAACATGAAGTTTTCACAGAATAAGAGTGCACCAGAACAAACTTTTAGTGTTTTTGACCAATTGGTTTTCCTTTTTATGTTTAGAAGTCTGCCGTCTAGAGAAAGTGTGAAGCTCACTCTTATAAAATGAATGTTTCTTAGGTGTTTTCCTCTCAAAATATTTTTAAAAGGCCCTTTTGTATCGCATTTATTTAATTAATGCACCAAATTATTGTAGTAAATTACAGGTTTGAGCAGCAGCCTAACCAGTTCAGCTGCTGGATTCATTACATCTGTGTAAAACGTGCAGAATGTGATTTACTGCTGGTGAACCGAGCCGGGCCTTCAGTGGAAATGAGTCATGTGACCAGCTGTAAACAGAGCTCTGAAACATCTGTATGTCGTTTAGCTTTAACAGTACCTTCAACTTACCATATGCACACACACGTCTGAGTTATGCTATGTGTTCTATGAACGGTCCACGAGATCCAAACAGAAAATCTTTTTTGATTCTTATTAGAAGATTCTCTGAATTTGTATTTAAAGGCCAACTTGATTTAACAGCGCCTCGTTCAGTTAGACGTCCTAATCAGCAGGTAACATAAAAATAAATTATTTTCTATTAATGCTCAGGTGTTTTTCTGGGAGTTTTGATTTTAAAGATGGAGGTTTAATAATCAACATTTGTATTTGTTGCATCAGCTGTTTTGTACAAATACTACCCTGATGAGCATCACTATCTTGTTTTTAGCATCTGTTTACATCAATGTTTTGGATTTATATTTATATATTTTTTGCCTTATTAGTTTTGACAGTAGAAATGTAAGAAAATATCAATACACTGAAATATTGCGACATTTCATGTTATGGCACTGAATCGATGTTTAAAAGCAGTGTATCAAATTCATGAACGCAAACATTTACTGTATTTTATTTTTGTTGGTGGTGCAATTCAAACTCCGACTGCTAGGTGGCAGCAGTTTTTACTACCTTTACTCTGACAGAACTACGAGATCTGACTGTAACACTGAGTCTGGTCTGAATTTTCCAATCAAATTTAGTCAAAAAAAATTGCAAAATACTGTCTAGCATTTTTTTCATTTATCTGCCCTTTTTTCAGGAAGCACGTGAATAGGAAACATGTTAATATAAAGAATATATTTAAAGTGGCCTCGTCACTCATATTTCTAATTACTTCCTCAATAAGCAGCTGGGTCGAGTAGAATGGACTCTGCAACTGTACGCCGATGGGCCCAATATGGCTGCAGACCAGAGACCGATGTTGCTTTTAGCTTTGGTAAGATAAGCAGAAATTAGCATCCAGGCTCATTTTGTCATCGAAAACTCATGCACGTCTATCTCGTCCTGTTTTAGACACAAGAGCTACTTTTTAGCTGATCAGCCCCTTATTGTTGTTGTGAGAAAAGGGAGCATCAATGAAATCATTTAGTGATTGATGAAGAAAACAACTCTGCTGTAGATATATTCCTTAGTTTCTGCAGTGTTGTCCTCTCCATTGCTTGCTGGTGTTTTCAGTCTTTTACTTTTAAGTAATTTGTTGATTCAGTTCCTTTGAGTCCTGTCTGCATCTTGAGCTCATTCTCCACTTCCACCCATCCACTCTGTTGCAGACTGTGAGAACTTTCTGTCTTTCTTTGTGGACAAAGTCAGTAAGGTTAGATCTAGCATTTCTCCTTCAGCCTTATTGCTGCCTCTCCCGACTCCAACCAGGCACAGCCTGTTAACCAAACTAGTTAACTCTATGAAGACCTCTGCATGCCCCCTCGACATCTTACCCTCATCTTTGTTTAAAAGTGCTTTTCAGTCCATCGGTCCCAGCGTGCTCTCTATAATTAATGCTTCTCTGGTTTCTGGTCAGGTCCCTGCTTACTTTAAGAACGCTGTAATCCACCCGCTTCTTAAAAAACCGAGTCTCGACCCCTCTCTCCATAGCAGCTTCAGACCCATCTCTAAACTTCCGTTCATCTCCAAGATCTTGGAAAAGGTTGTGGCTAAACAACTCACAGCTGCTCTTGATGAACATAACATCTATGATAGCTTCCAGTCAGGTTTTCGTAGAGCTCATTCTACTGAAACAGCTCTTCTTAGGGTCTCTAATGACCTTCTGACTCACAGTGATGCAGGGGACTGTTCTGTTCTGGTCCTGCTGGACCTGACTGCAGCTTTTGACACTGTTGACCATCACCTGCTACTGGAGAGGCTGAGAGACTGGGTAGGCCTATCAGGATCTGCTCTGGAGTGGTTCTCCTCTTATCTCTCTGAGCGCTCCTTTTCTGTGGCCGTCTCCAAGTTTAGGTCCTCCACCACCTCTCTTACCCATGGTGTCCCACAAGGTTCTGTGCTGGGGCCTCTGCTCTTCCTCCTATATCTGCTTCCTCTTCAGCACATCCTGAGCTCCTTCAAAGGAATCTCCTACCATCTTTATGCAGATGACATCCAACTGTACATCTCCTTCAAGCCCCATGAGATGTCTAAGCTGCAGCTGTTACACACCTGCTTAGACTCTCTCAAAACCTGGATGGCTGGGAGCTTTCTACAGCTGAATGAAGATAAGACTGAGATCCTCATCTGTGCCCCAGACAAGCTGGTTCCCAAAGTCTGAGACTCTCTTGGTCAGCTTGCTTCTCACACCAAACCTTCCGTCAGGAATCTTGGCGTGACCTTTGAACCAGCTCTCACCCTGGATTCTCATGTCAGTTCTCTTGTTCGCTCTTCCTTCTTCCATCTCAGGAACGTTGCTAAGCTAAGTCCCATTGTGTCCCGCTCTGAACTTGAGACAGTTCTCCACACCTTCATCTCCTCACGCTTAGACTACTGTAACTCTCTTTTCACGTGTCTGAGCAGAGCCTCCCTGAACCGTCTACAGGTGGTTCAGAATGCCTGTGCTCGGCTTCTGACCAAGTCCTCCAAACACACCCACATCACCCCGCTTCTCCTCCAGCTTTACTGGCTGCCAGTCAACTTCAGGGTTCATTTCAAGATCCCGGTTCTGGTCTACAGGGCCTTACATGGACAAGCACCATCATACATTGGTGATCTTCTTCCCTACACCCCCAGCAGGTCCCTGAGGTCCAGTGATCAAAGCCTACTAGTTGTGCAGCGCATCAGGCTAAAGACCAAAGGTGACAGATCATTTGCTGCTGTGGTCCCCAGACTCTGGACCTCTCTCCCCCTGAGCCTGAGATCAGTGGACTCACCCCGGGTTTCCACGGGAGCCGTCAGCAGCACGTTACTGCAGCAGCACGTCTTGCTCGCGTAAGCTGCTGCTTGGCCCTTCCCACGAGACGCGAAGCAGCAGGGGAGCAGCTGTCACCGACAGAGCACGAAGTCACACGAGTGACTTCGTCAGTAAACACAACAACAAGCAGGAGAAAACTACAACATGGTTTGTGTTTTATGTTCTGTCCGTTTTATAATCACCAATACGGACCTGAAAAACAAAGGAGACCGCTAGCTAGGTGATAACTTCTCACGGGGACGGACAGTTAGTAACATTTTTTAAAAGTAAAGCAACCGGAAGGCAGCACGTTCTTTATTCTGAAAATCTCGGTAGCTTCTCTCCATTTCCGCGTCCGATTTCCTGTCTTTCCTTCCCCAAAAATGTCGAACTTGACCCGTTTCAGAGGCGTCGCGCGTAGAAAATAGAACCGGCGCGTAAAGGCCGCGACATGCTGCTACTGAGACGCGGCCGACTCGCGCTGCTGACGGCTGCCGACGGCTCCAGTGGAAAAGGTTCTGTTGACCACAGCGGTTCCTATCAGCAGCTATGACGTGCTGCTGCAGTAACGTGCTGCTGACTGCTCCCGTGGAAAGCCGGGGTCAGTGGTCTCCTTTAAAAAGCAGCTGAAGACTCGCCTGTTCAAGCTGGCTTTTGTATGACCTTCTTCACCACTCTCTCTTTATTCTGCTCTCCCCACGTATTCCACCTTCCTCAGGATCCACTGATTTCCCTCTTTCCTATTCATTTTCTCTCTTTCTTAACATTTTTTAATCACAATTGTCTATTTTTTGCTCATTTTAAATATATTGTTAACCATTTTCTAAATTATTTTTTATATCTTTACATTTTTTGTTTTTGTGAAGCGCCTCATGATTTTTATCTTGAGAGGTGCTATAGAAATGATATTTTCTTCTTCATCTTATGACCTGTAGACCCATCTACTACACAAGAAACGTCCATTCACGGTCTGACTTTATCGTTTAATGCACAATTTGGACTTTATCTCAGCTTGAACTTCATAAACTATTCCCTGTTTGTCAGTAAACGTGAACTTGACTGATTCAGACGCGTATGTTGTAACTCGTCCAACAGTGGATGCATTCATGAGTTTAGGCGCTTATATAAACTTTTCTCTGCGACACAATGAGCCCAGTTCGGTTAAAACAACACTACTGCTGTTACTCACCCAAAGCCGCTGTTTGATCCACAAGACCCGCCTTCTCCGTATTCCTCTTAGTTTCACCTCCCAGAGATCTAAAGACAACTCGTTTAACCCCCTTCTCTGTTTTTCCACCCTAATCGTCCCGTTTTGGGATTATTTGGTGGCAGAAAGTCGTGCAGGAGTCCATCGCAGCGCAGCACACCGCAGAGGATGGTGTGAAAGGGAAAAGGGAAGTGGCACGAGCCAGTGCGTAAAGTGCCGCCCAAAAAGTGCATTGGTCGGAGTAAAACTTTCACTATTAGTCCAGAACTAAGTTGCTCCTCCACTCTATATTCACAGGATCTAGAGGCGGGTCTTCTGGGACAATTACGGTAAATGGATAAAGGCATTACTCTAAATAATTTAGTAATTTACCATTTCCTGTTTAAACTCGTTCCTATTAACAGGGTTCGACCTACACACAGGCTAGAGGGAGCTCCATGAGAGCCTTTAGAGACAACTGCTTCATTCACTCCACTCTACTGAAAATCAGCTGGTAAAGTCAAGTTGTGTATCTTTGGGTGGACAAGAAGAATCCGAAGTTCAATGTTTAGCAAACCAACTTCAATTTAGTGAATTCATTCTCAATAATAGATACGAAATTTTAAATACGTCAACAAAACACTAATTGTTCTTTATCATTTACATGTTTTTCCACCTTAAACCAAACATACATTTTTGTCAATCCATCCATCCATGGACATCATTTTTGTGTGGGTAGGGGGGGACATGTCCACACACACACACACACACACACAAACCTCCTCCTTTTGAAATGAAAATTGCTCCATTGCATCCATCTGTTATCTTTCCCTTATCTGGTGTCAGGTCACAGGCAGTAGCCGGGAGCCCCAGACTTCCCTCTCCTCAGCTATTGGGACCAATACTTTTAAAGTTAAAGTCCCATTCGTCGTCACACACTGGTGAAATTCGTCTCCACATTTGACCCATCCCTGTGGGGAGCGATGAGCTGCAGTTGTGGCCGCATTCAGAAACCATTTGGTGGTTTAACCCACCAATCCAACCCCTTGAAAGCTGAGTGTCAAGCAGGGAGGCATTGAGTCCCATTTTTAAAGTCTTTGGTAGGACCCGACCAGGATTTGAACCCAGATCTCCCAGTGCCAGGGTGGACACTGTACCACCAGGCCACTGAGAATGTAAAACTTTTGGGGGAATCCCAAGGTGTTCCCTGGCTAGCTGAGAAACATAGTCCCTCCAGCGTGTCCTGGGTCTTCCCTTAGGTCATCTCCCGGTTAGACGTGCCTGGAAAACCTCACCAGGGAGGCATCCAGAACGCATCCTAACTACATGCCCGAGCCAACTCAACTGGCTCCTCTCAACGTGGAGGAGCAGCAGGTCTACTCTGAGCCCCTCGCGGATGACCGAGCTTCTAACCCTAACTCTAAGGGAGAGCCCAGCCTCCCTGTAGAGAAAACTCGTTTCGGCCGCTTATATCCATGATCTTGTTCTTTCGGTCACTACCCAAAGCTCGTGACCATAGGTGAAATAGACTGAAATAGGCAAACTGTTAGATCAATATATCAACTTCTAACCTCTTTTTCACCAAGAAAATTATTTAAGAAATAAAACTTTCTCATTATATTAAACAAGCTCCCATTGACTTTCATGTTTAAAATGCCAATTTCACAGCAGAAATAAACGTGTTTACAGCCTGGTTAAAAAAAAACATTTTAGGTTTAATTGGTTTATTTTACTATCAAGACCACTCTGAGGGGGTGGGTTTTTGTAACTTACTCATTTAGATGTAATTAAAGCTTGAAATTAATTGATTACTGGTGTGTCCTTTTGAGCGGTGAGTGATTGGTGCTAGTTGCTAGCCACCTGCTTTCTCCAGGGAAGGCCTCAGCCTCTGCCTCATGTTAAAAGTGTTACAGCCAAAAAGTCACGGGGTAGCAGAGTCCCTCAGCTGTGGTTGTCTGGCTGTACCCGCCAACCTCCGTTAGCTCCAGTTCACGCAGATCATTCAGCTCAGAGTTTGATGGGTGCCAGTCATCTGCACCCACCTTCACAGCCCCGCTCTTAGCTCCTTTTTTGTGTTCTCTGGGAGTGACGAAACATGTGACGCGGCCAAGATGGTGGAAGTGGGAACTGCCCATTGGGCTTCAATTCAGCTCTTCAGAAACCTACAGGTGATGGTGTGGAGGGTTTGTCCATCATACAGTCAATGGGTGGTTCCCAGAAAGAAAGAGATAAAGAAAAAAACCATAACAGAACAGAATGAGGTCTAGCACATCCCAAGGTTTCCCCCCAGCACTTTTTAAGCCTGGTGGGCCACCAGGCCTTGCTTGGCCCCCGCCAGGCCAAGGGACCACTGCCCACCCGTCTTCCCCACAGTCACAGATGACGCACAAGAGTGAAACGAACCGCCCTCACTTTCACTGTCCGCCGGGCTTAGCGAGTTTTGTGGGGGAACCTTGCATCCACTGTGTCTTCCCACAGAAACTAGGATGAGCAAAGGCAGGTTTTATTATTCAATGTTGACTGTGTGGATGGGCTAGGCTGGTAGTTCAGGCTGGGGTTTGAGATGATGGATGATGCTGAAGCCCATTCATCTTTACTGGTCCATCTGACAATGAAAAAAACAAAGGTAAAATAACTGAATACATGTTTTACAATCTCTTTTCTTCAAAATAGTCACCCTTTGCTCTGATTACTGCTTTATAATGCATTGAACTTATATAGCGCTTTTTAGGACACTCAAAGACGCTTTCACACACTCTCACATTCACACACTGCCAGTGATGGTAAGCTACTTTGTAGCCACAGCTGCCCTGGGGCGGTCTGATAGAGGCGAGGCTGCCATTTGGCGACGTCGGCCCCTCTAACCACCACCAACACAGGCAAGTTGGGTGAAGTGTCTTGCCCAAGGACACAACAGCAGAATACTCCTGGCAGGAGCTGGAATCAAACCCATGAGGCAACCCGCTCTACCTCCTGAGCTACTGCTGCCCCACTCTTGGCACACTTTGCACACTCTTGGCATTCTCTTGATGAGCTTCAAGAGGTAGTCACGTGAAATGGTTCTCCAACAGTCTTGAAGGAGTTCCCATAGGTGTTAGCACTTGTTGGCCCCTTTGTAAGTGGTCATGGTCATGAAAATAAAGAAACACATTGAATGAGAAGGTGTGTCCATACCTTTGGCCTTAAATGTATTTATTCGAGTCTTCTAAAATAATTATTTATTTCCTTTCTAATCCCTTCCTTCATCAATGTATCATCAGTTTCATTATTATACATAACACATTTGTAGGGCATCTACTGACTGGTGCAAACTGTTAATACACCTGGATCGTTATTTTTATTGAATATCTGAATATCTTTTAGATACACCTCTACTGCCCTTTTCCTTATTTCATTTTCTTTTACAATTCAAATATAATATTGACTGATTTATGTCACGGTGCTTCAATAAATTTTAAATCAGACATAAAAATCTTCTTAACTGAAATGATGAGGCCCTATATTTAAGTGGTGGTATCTAACCTTGGTTTGAGATTGATGTTCCTTCAAAAAACCCTTATTCCCATCAATAAACACGATAGATACTGAACAGGTGAGTCAGTCTTTGTATCAGGTCTTGTTGCATGGCTTTGTTCCTGTTTCTTAAAAACATAACTTTCAGATACATTTTAGTCTTCCATTTATTTACTTTCCTCATATGTTATCGAGTTTAAGAACATGACTTAAGAACTGTTAAAAAAACTACCAGAAAATGTGACAAAGCACCAGTTAAGACCATTTAAACCCTCCAGCAATCCTAATGGGGTCCAATGGACCCCACCATTTTTTCCGTCATTCTTTGAGCAGCAAGCACCACCTCACCCACGCCATGTGGACCCCAAGGCATAAACTAGCCACCCTGGTCAACCTGCCCCATCCTGGAGGGGTCACAGCGGGAGGGTTATATGACGTTCGTATTGGTTCCAGGTGTTCATCTTCAAATTCAAGAATTAATATTAAAATAATTTCAAGACATCAGGAGTGGGTTAGGTTTTGTACTGGGTTTGTACTCGTTTTAGTAGTCACTATACATTATTCCACATGCACTAAACAGAACAGCACATTGATGTTTCAATAGAATAAAATATAACATAATATAATATAATATGGTCATTGCTCTGTATTAGATATACTAGCACCCTCTAGAGTGCTAGAACCCCCCAAGGCGCTTTACAACACAGTAATTTAACCCTGAGTGCACACACCCTGGTGGGGATGAGCTATAATGTAGCCACAGCTGCCCTGGGGCGCACTGACAGAGGTGAGGCTGCCGAGCGTTGACGCAACCAGTCCCTCCGACCACCACCAGCAGGTAAGGTCTTGCCCAAGGATACAACAGCAGCATTCTCTGCAGGGAGCCAGGATCGATCCTCCTGGACAACTAGACAACCCGATCTACCTCCTGAGCTACTGCGGCCCTGAATAGAGTAGAATAATCCTTGACTGTCATCATAATATACTCTTAGCTATAATGAAATTCAAGGTGCGCCTTGTATCCCAAACAGAGTAAAACGTGATTCACATCTAAAGGTGCAAAAACACAGCAATATCAATAAGTTGAAAAACTTGTACACTCACTTGTGTGAGTGTGTGCTTGGTTGTTTGTCTTGTGTGTCTCTGTGTTGCCCTGCGATGGACTGGAAACCTGTCCAGGGTGTACCCCGCCTGTTTGCCCAGAGATAGGCATCAGCGACCCTGCGAGGATAAGCGGGTAAAGACAATGGGTGGATGGATGAAACTTGTACAAAAATTTTATATAGTGTAAAAAAGTAATAAAACCACATTTTAAAAAAGTACAAATAAAACCATTGCAGTGTAACGAGGTAGATGAGGTAATATGTGGATGCAAGAACAGATAAAGACAGGAAACAACACATTAGGAACAAATAAAATACAAGTAAACAAGGTGAAAATTGAATGAGTGGAGGTGCATGAAAATGTGCACCATTCACTTGTGTGTGTGTGTGTGTGTGTGTGTGTGTGTGTGTGTGTGTGTGTGTGTGTGTGTGTGTGTGTGTGTGTGTGTGTGTGTGTGTGTGTGTGTGTGTGTGTGTGTGTGTGTGTGTGTGTGTGTGTGTGTGTGTGTGTGTGTGTGTGTGTGTGAAAATGATGAATAATGAAGAGATTAGTAAAATATATATCATAATATGAATATTAAAATTGACTTATTGAAGAAAAAACTTCCTAAGACACATTTTCTCTTTTTTCAAAGTCGTCTAACAAGTCTGAGTGGTTAACAGTCACCAT